GGCGGCGGGCGGGGGGCGCGGGCAGAGCCGGGGGGAGCTCGGGGCGAGCTCTTCGAGGGGGTCGTGTCAGGAGCCTGGAGATCCGACAGGAGAGAGAGCCGCCTCTTGTTGCGGCTCCCTGTCTCTCCCCTCCAGCTCTTGCTAAGCACTAAGTCATTCTCACTGACCCATCCTCTCCAGCTGAAGACAGAGATTGGAGATTCCCAGATACCCCCATGCATTGTGGTGTGAACATGCCCAGTGGGTCAGTCTCAGGTATGAGCTATAAATACGTCTAACCTGTAAAAAGAGTTGGGGCTGAACAATCAGTGTTAACAAAAACGAAAAAGGAAAGGGGTTTTTTAAAGTGCGTAACGCGGTTTAAGTGCTCATGTTGTTTTCTGGAGGAGTTGTCACTGTTTGGGAGTGAGACTCGATTTTCATCTTGGGCATGTCAACATGAACTGCACGTTCCAAATGAAAAATTGTGAGATAAAGGAGTGGGGATGGGGGGTGGGGTAGAAATACAGACTTTTCTTAAGATGGTGGCTTTTTTTACGTAAACCAGTATATTCTTACAGAGTACTATTTTTGTTGAAAAGAAAGGATATTTTTCTTTTTTTATATAAACCAGAGCCTGTAATTGCTTGGGTTTTATTTACTTTTTGCCCCCCTAAAGTTGACTTTAACTAACAGTTTGGAAAAGAGTATAGAAAAAAACACATAAAGCCAAGACCAAAAGCTACCTCTTTTTTCTGCACTGCCAAAAATACTATGTAGATAAAACTAAAAGGAGTGCACATACTTTGGTAAAATGATAAAGATTATGAGTTTAGAAAAGACTCAAGAAATGTTTTGACATCTCTTGCTAGCATGCAAGCAAGTGTTGAAAGGATCTTAATATAAGAAGCTTTACTGATATTGTATCCAAGCTGCATTTACAGATCCTGTCAAATAAGTGCTTCTTGACACTCTTGCTGGCTGTTATATGGAAATAACACGTTCAATTACAGAGGCATCTTTGATTGCAATGTAGTAATTTTTGTTACACATTTCTCGAGTCTTAGCTTTTTTTTTCCAATTATATTATTTTTCATTTATCTTCTGCATAGTAAAATTAATAAATAGTAAATAAAGAAATATATTGCCCTGTTTTTTTATCTACTGTATTGAGTACTAATTAAATATCCACTTGATTTTTAGAATGAAAGGTTATTCTTAAGTGCCAGTTTAAGTATCTTATTGGAATATTCACTGTAACTGTTAACCAGAACTTGCTTTTCTGAGGTCTGATGACACAAGTATTAAAGTGAATCCAGGCTCCTTGTAGGGGAAGTAACTAATCAAATGTGTATTGTACAATTAGAGTGTTCCTTTCATGTACCTCTATAGTAATAGTTTTCATTGTGTTAATTAAGTTTTATGTTATTTGTAATTATTATAAAAGTTTAATTATGATGTATGCAGCTTGCAGCTTTTACCATGACTGTTTATACATTGAATGTACATGAGCAAGGCATGCATAAAAATTGTTTTAGCCAGTTCTATACAGGGGACTGAAGGCTTTTTTGTGGGGTTCAGAAGACAGGCAGCAGAGGGCAGATGTTGGGAATTCTCATCTTTGCCTAGTTCTCATTTGAGCTCTTGGCAAGGTTCTTCTGTTGGAAAGTTTCAGCCAGTGGGAAGCACTTTCAGTTGTATGTCTGATGACTCCTGTAATTGGACCATTGTCCCTTCCTGACAGCTCACTTTGAGCCCAGAGTTGACATGCCCTTTGGAAAAAAATGTTAGTATTGTTAGCAGAAATATTATTAAATATTCAGGTTAATATTTTAGTTACTGCAGCTATTTTCCTTTTAGTCTGGAAGGGAAAATGGCCTAATGACAAGGTTGTGATGCTAACAACCTAGACGTGGTGTTATGAAAATGTAATGTGCCTGAAAAAAACACTGCTTCCTATTGCACAGCAGACCCATAAGCTTCTGGTAGTCAAAATTTAGCTTTTTTAATTTATCATTTATTTTGCAAGATCTTTCTCATTTTCTTAGCCTTTTCATCTGCTTCACATGGAGCACACTGTTCAAAATGATTTCTTGTCTTTATGCTGTGAATATGATTTCAATGTTCTCTGCTCTAAAGCTTTTCTTTTGAGTTCTTTGTACCAATAGATTCTGAGTCTTACCTAATGTCTGTTTACTTTGTAGTTGTTTTCCTTTGGAAAATTTTATTTTTCTTCACTGGCTATTGAGATTTATTTTGCAACTATTTTAAGCGCTCTCTGTACCAAATATGGCTTTTTAAAAATTAATCTGAAGAAATACATATACATTAACAGTTTAATTTTTAGATTGAACTTGTGTTTTACTATACCATTCTTTTTTAATTTAGTGGTAATATATTATTTTCACCTTTGACATAGCTTTTCGATATAATCTAGGAATTAAAAACCAGATTGTTCTTTGCAAGTTCTTCTATTTCCCTGCTTAAGTTCAATGGCTCATTCATCCGCAGGGTATTTATGCAAGAAGCTGCAGATGCCAAAACCTCATTTATTCTGTTAATAAGTTCTTTGTTTCAGATGCTTTGATAATGCTGTCATCTCAGAGGTTCACTCTCTCGTTTTTAAGCTTTAAGAGCAAATATAGACCACTGTTTTTTAATTTCTTTTTAATTCTGTGGTTTTCATAGATACACAGATAAAATATTTCTTCAGAAGTTTCTTTGATAAGCAGTTACTATTTAAACTTAAATGAACTACTACTCTTTTGAATTTTTGGTTTGAGACACTGGAATGCAATTCCTGGTGTTTCTTATACCTGTTCTCTCAGCATGTGAAACAATTTCACATTTAGTCTGCACAGAGAGGCAACTTGTCTGTATCTCTACTGGTGGTGACAGTGATTATTAATCAATTACTACACTAAGATCCTTTATATTTTCATTTATCTAAATGAGTATTTACTGTTGTCTTGTATGTTTCCCCATTTTTAGGATAAAGCCTGTCTGAAGAACATACTTTGAGAGGAAAGTTTAATACCTGAAGAAATACTGTACTTGTTAAGTTGAATGCAGTTTCTTTGTCATGCTCTGGGCATGAAGTATAAAATGTAGGAATCTTTGGTAAAGTTTGCAGCTGATGACTGAACCAGGAGGGCAGTGGTTGGAATGATAGGTTAACTGATCAGCAGTGTGGAACAGTTAATGAAATAGTTGGAAGGAGATTATAAGGTCACCTTCAGTAGATCGGGTCAAAAGTGTCTACCCTACCCTAGCAATATCCTGTATGTCTCTCTCTCTTTGGAGGCATGGAACAAGTAGTACCAGTACTGCTTTGGTTGTTTATATGCCTTCACTGGTTTGCAGCTTGAGGACTTTCCCAGTCATAGTCTGTGTTTGACATGCTTTGAATTTCTTGTCAGTTGATTTATCCGATTTCTGTCTTAAATGCCTGTTAATCATTAGTAACTTGTTACTTGTGACTTGGTTCTGGGACTTGTATGTCTGCTTTGTGAAAAGTGACTTGTTACTTGTGAATTTCATTTGCTCCCTCTAGTTTCTTGCAGTAAATCATTCAAGTGATCATCCTGTCTTTGTACCTTTTGTATCCTGTTTTAACCATTTTCAAATATGAGTCTATTATAATGTAGGTAAATGCAGAGCAGGGAGTCTGGAAAGAGGTGAATAAATTGTTCACTGTTAGAGAGGAGATGGTGGTGATGTCCTGAAGGCAGGGGTTTGAGGATTTAGGGACTGGCATAGCTCTGTAGCAAGACTGCTGATGTTATATAACATGAACTGAGTAAGGAGTGTTGAGCAAGTGTGGGTGTCAGAAGTTATCCTGTGATTGTAAATTGTATTTTAGTATTTGCTTTCATGCTAAAAATTTTAGACTAAAATGTATTCCAAAATGATGCTTTTAAAACCATTTTTGGAAGAGTTCTTTGCATGTGAAAGTTTTTGTGTTTTTCCAAAACTGAACTGCTGCAAATGCATAACACTGGTCCCTACTTCCTGTGCTGTAGTAGAATTGCATTGCAGTGGCAGGGATCTTGACAATGTCTTGTGTTCTTCCTTGTTGGATGACTTGATTCAGTTCTCAACTCTTAACCTCACTGATTTTTTGCCATCTTAGGGGGCCTGTAGATAATAGGGAACAGGTGAAACTGAGGTAAATTATTGGGTGCTTTCAGGTCAGGTATGTCAGTTTTCAGAATGTCAGTGTCTTTTGATTGGTTGTCCTGTATTAAAATACCTAACAACCGGGATCTGAGATTCAATGATCCCATGGTCAACCTTAATTTCTGTGAAACTGAGTTTATTTTCTTGACTATCTTGTCTTTTTGCTGGTCTGCATCTTTATGTGTACAGTCTTGAAGGTAATGTACTGGATTAGGTGGCAGATCATTCAGAAGGACCAGAGAGGAACATTAGATGTTTTTATTAGAAGCCTCATCTGTTTCTTTTTGCAGTAACTCTTTGCAATTTAAGTTGATGATGGATGGTGCTACATGATTAGTGTTTTGAAAAGGTCTTTTTGTGCTTTGGTTTTTGAATCTTTATTGTATGTACAGAATATGAAAAGGTGCAGTGTGACTTCTGTGTTAGAATTTTCTTGTCTTTTCCCAGAAGTATAATCTTTAATTTTTTAGAAATTACCTATGATCATTAGAATAAAAATCAGCAGTAGGTCTTTGTGTGTTGGAGTCTCTGTTCAGGCATGCTAAGAATATCTATGTCAAAGTGATACAGTCATCTTAATATAATTTGCAGAATTTTCATTGTTGACAGATACTGGAAAGTAAATTACAATGACTTGGTGCTAACAAGAACTAGGTACAAATGGGATAAAATTTATGTACGTATTTTCACCACTACAGTTATTTTCATGGAATGATATGCACAGAGAGTTACTGTATTTCTTTAAATAGGACAGCTTCTTATGACTTCAGGAGAGCTAATTGTCCTGGAGAAGTCAGTGGTTTACACGTGGAGATACTGAAATGTATAAAATACTCTCTCCTGTCAGAGTAAACAGCTACTTGGTTTCATTTTTATCCTTCCTGTGTTCATTGTGTATTCCTTCTCCGTGTTACTTTTTCTGTGAATCTTGACTTGCCAGGTTTTCTTGGTATTACCCAAGCCTTGGTGTTGGTTGGTACTGGGAAGCAGTTTTGGTCTCCAGAATGCCAGTGAAGTGCAGATTGTGTACATTACAGAAAGATAGTGGATCATAATCGTTGTGCAGATCTGCAGCATTATTTTAGTGCTTTGAATTTGAGTGAATATTTGCCCAGAATTTTTACATAGACCTTCCAGTGCTGAGGAGGAAGTTGGTTCTTTTGCCAGACTTCATTACAAGTTGCTGAGATGTCATGAAGTGACATCACTTTGACTGTGAAATACTGGCACCTTAGCACAGTTAGTGAGCTGCAGCTCGGTGCTGATTTGGGTGTATTTTTGTTTGTGCTAGATGGCAGAAAATTCTTTTGTTTGACTGTAGCCTATATACAGAGCCTGCACTGCAGCATGACAGCTTGTAACCTTGACCCAGGGTCCCTGAGTGTGAGTGAAAGTTTCTTGGGGCATTGGATAGAGAGAGCCTCTGAGCTCATTGTATTATGAAAGGGTTGGAAGTGATCTTAATTCTCTGCAACTTCGGACATATTCTACATCAGGTATCTTTATTTAATTCTCTTAATTTGTGACGATTCCAGCTGATGGAACAGTAATCCTAAGTTACCTACTATTGGAAAAGATTAGGAACTTTATTCCAGTCAAGAGGTGCTCAGATGATGACAAAGACATGTGGCTTCTGTAATCACAGTGTCAAAATTGGTTTGCAACTGTCAATTTTGTATTTTGTTTCTAAGTACCGTGGCAATGAGTAAGCCTCTTACTTAAGAATTTAAACTAGATTACTTAATAAGAATTCTCACTTGCTTTCTTTATAAACATTTTTCTGCTCTTTTTTTAGACATGGACCGGGATTATGGGCATGGAGGCTATGGTGGCCCACGATCCATGGACTCTTACCTTAACCAATCCTATGGGATGGAGAGTCATGGAGGTGGAGGCGGAGGAGGTGGTGGTGGTGGTAACAGGTAAAATAATCCTTCAGTTGTCCCAAGAATCAATCAAATCCAATTTAAGTTTAAATCATTCTTCTAACTTAAGTGTTCCTGAGGCATGTTGTTATGATTTTGTATGAACACTTTCATTCTGAGTCTTCATGTTTGATAAATACTGGCAAATACTAAACTGTAAGTGCTGGATTCTTGTAATAATCAGCATTTTGTGGAAAAGTTTGACAGCGGAGCAGTGCGTCTGAATGAAAATAGCAAAAGTTTTGTTTTTCAGTATTGTCTAGCAATTTATAGCTGATTGGCCTGATACACCATTTCTGACACAGCAGACTAGACCTAATTGGTTTAGTGCCTTAGACTGAATCTATCAACATTCCGTTTTCAAGGAACATTTAGGGTATGTGTTCTTTGGTTTAAATGTGCAGTGCTCAAGTGATCTTGGTATTGAATCTGAAAGTCATGTCCAGATTATTTCATTGGAAGGTACTGATTACACTTGAAACTGTGTGCATGTTCTGGGCTGCTTTGTAAGATGGAGTAGTCTAAAACTAAAAATTCTGATGCAGTGGTCTGAAAGTTGTGTATTTAATGCTAGGGTACTATTTGCTCTTTCAGATGAAAACAATAGGGACCAGCTGATTTGACTTAGGTCTTAAAATTGCATTCAAAGAAGCATGCTTTTCAGAGTAGTGATTCTATCTTGGAGGAGATAAAATGTGAAGAAAACTTAGATAATCTGATGGTTTTCTTGTGTGCATCCTTGAATTTTTGTCTGGCTGTTGCCAGATTACTGTGTGGTTCCTGTCTAGTCACTGTGGTGCCACTGGGGAAGGACAATACTAAAGAGGGAGGCTGGAGAGGTGTTGTCTTGCTGCTCGGTTCTGTTAAGCATTTTAGTTACGTATAACTTGTTTAATAATGAATGTTAATACTGATTTCCAAGTCTGAGCAGAGATTGAGGAACGAGCCGTACCTACCATATAGTAATCTGCATATGATGGAGGTTGAATGACTACTTGAACGCCAAAATGTCGCTTGCTATGTAACCTAATGTTCTGCATGGACTTTTTCTAGTGTCATTTTCTGTGTATCTTTGAGTCTTCTGTGATGAAAAGATTTTGAAATGAGGGCATTCAGTTTACTGTAGCTACAGTTAGTAAGTTGAGTCTCTTGTAGGTTGTATTGTATCAGTTAAGGGATTGTCTTTCCCAGCTGCTCAGTCACCCTGTTATAACCCTGCAGGGACACTAATGTGTTTCCCTTCCAAGCAGTTACAGATACTGATTTCTAGCCTGACACTGCCCATGTCCCAGGCAAAGCAAACTCTTGATAAATAGCTGAAGATTGTAGCTCCTTGTTGCTTTACTCTGAAATTCCAAGGACTCTTTTTGTGTCCACTCTGCATGCTTTGGGGAGACTTTCAGAGTTGCTAGACCTAGTGGTCTGCAAGTGAAAGCTGGATACACTGAAGACCATGTACTCCTTTGATTGTGAGACTTAATTTTACAGGGAAAAAATTTTCAGAAAGAAAAAATGTGAACAGAAGAGCATATGTATTTTTTCTTTAAAATGAGAACTGTGGGATACTTGGAACTCACAACTGTACCACTAAAAAAGCCAAAACTTTTTTTTTTCCTCAGTTCAGAACTAAGCTGCCTCTCAACTGCTGTTTAACTCTTAGACCGTGAGGGTATGATTTTGAAGAAAGCGGAGTTTGACTAGGCTTTGAATGTCTGCAGGTGATTATTTTTGTGAGACTAGGGCTGGGCTCCAATAATGTTTTAGTAAGTAAACGTTGCTGAAAATTTAAATAAACAAAGTTCAGGTATACTGAACTTTAGAATTGTTTGTAGCAAAAATGGCTCAGATAGCTTTCTGTCTGGTCATAGTGTGAATTGCCCAGCCCTAATCAAGATTAAACAATAACACAACTGTACAGATCAGTATAGTAATAAATTGATTTTAGTTGATAAATGTCAACTGATAACTTGTCTTTTGAAATGTATAACATTAGTAAGCTTACTTTTTTTTCTCCTCACTGTGCAACTTTTCCAGGTTTGGACCTTATGAGTCTTACGACTCCGGGTCTTCTCTGGGTGGGCGAGATCTGTACAGATCTGGCTATGGTTATAATGAACCCGAACAAAGCCGCTTCGGAGGTAGTTATGGTGGTCGATTTGACAACTCCTACCGGAATAGCCTTGACTCTTTCGGAGGTAGAAACCAGGGCGGGTCTAGCTGGGAAGCACCTTACTCCCGTTCAAAATTGAGGCCTGGGTTTATGGAGGACAGAGGAAGAGAGAGTTACTCTTCCTACAGCAGTTTTTCTTCACCCCATATGAAGCCTGCACCTGTAGGCTCTCGGGGGAGAGGAACGCCTGCTTATCCTGAAAGTGGATTTGGAAGCAGAAACTATGATGCTTTTGGAGGACCATCAACAGGCAGAGGCCGAGGCCGAGGAGTAAGTACAGAATCTTTTCAGATTCTTTTCACTAGACACTCTTTTAAACCCTTTCAAGACCACTGCTTTAAAATGAATGCACTGTTCAGTACAGTGTGGGGGTTTTGTCCAAGCAAACGATCGTGGGTGGTGACAATGTTGTTTATCCCTTTGAAGCTGTCTTCAAGTAGAACCCAGTCCCTCTTTCTGCTGAAGAGAGTAAGAGATTAGTTGATAAGGTTTGTTAAATCTCTCCTTTTGTTTGAAAGGTGAAGATAAAAGTAGTAGGTTTGGTCTAAAAGGGATTAAAAGGACTTTCATTTTTCCTTGTAAACACCAGCATCTCTGCTGCTGGTGAGGAAATTTTTGAATATTGTGAAAGTTGAATTCAAAGTCTTTTGAAGTTTTGAGTAGGTTAAAGGTGCAATGTATAAGCAAAAAATAAAACCCAGGTTGTGAACGCTAGAGCAGTTTTTGGTTCATGTAAAGGGAAAAGTTGAGCTAATTCTTTAATATGTTGAGTACATGTTTTATCAAACATCAAGTCGTCTTTTAAACTTAATTCTCACTCTGACTTGTTTACTGGAAGGGTGATGGGGAGGAAATGGCAAAGGTGAGTGGTTAGCAGTTACAGTGATTCTTTCTCAGAATTGAAGCATGGTTAAAGGGGCATCATCAACTTGAAATCAGATCCTTTCACAGAACTGAAATTAATTTCCCCACAGTGTGCCTACTCCTCTTGTATTCGTTTTGAAGACTTAAGTTCTAAGTGCTTCTCAGTGGATTTCTTTCCAGTGTGGGATGTAAAAAGTCTGTGTCCTAGAAACGGCATGATTAACTGTATGCAAAATAGTGATCAATTTGAGGAAGTAATGCCTAATGTTAAGTGAGGTAGGGGAAAAAATACAGCAGAAAAGAATTAAAAAACCCCAAACCTGACAGAAATACTAACTTTAGGTTGATGGTGTCCCTTTGTCTTGGTTTTATAATCCCAATTTTGATTTTTTTTAAGCACGAAATATTCAGTGAACACCTTTCTGCCTGTGCCTCTAGGTGCAACTTACTTTTAAAATTCCTGAGCGTGCTGTATTTCTTTGGGAAGTGATTCTTTAAGTTTAAACTATACAGCTTGAAGAGTAGAGGAAAATTATTTTTTACTGGGTCTTTTATATGCTTAACATGTGTGGTGGTTTTGTTCCAGAAAGTCTACTTTGCAGCATTCTTGAGTATTGTAGTTGCCATATTCAACTTTCAGCTCAGATTTGCACTTGGCTGTTAGATAGCATGTAGCATGGTATGAGAAAAAGATTTCAATCTTCATTTCTCTGCTTGTGAAGCTGAAAATGTTACATTCTTAAGCCTTTATGTTATTCTTTTGGAACTCATTTAGATCTCAAAGCTTTGTGCACAGTTACAACTGAGTTCTTTTTTAATTTGCTTTTGAAATCTGTCATTTTAGTTCTTTTTATGTAATAAAGGAGAATGTAAAGGCTAGAGTTCTTACCATATGTAAAATGCATTGCACCTTTAATAGGTAGATTGTCTGTTTAAAAAAACCCGAACTTGGAATTATCCAGTATGTACTTCATGTCAAATTTGTGTCTGATGTAAATGTACATGCTAGGCAGTCTATAGCTATCTCAGCTAAATAAATTAACATGGAGATCTTGTGCATGGACTTCTGATTATGGAAAGTGCCTGTTTTGGTACACTCTGTCTGTCATTTAAAATCTGCTTTAAAAAAATAATGCTTTTCTTAAAGGTTTTGAAGTTATTTTTATGTTCTTTTGACAGTGTAATACTAATTCTCTACTCATGGAAAGAGATATATTTCTGCTTATCCAAGTCACTCATCCAGTCTGTGGGCTCTCTTCTGCCCTTTATTAATCAAGTAATCATGCTAATATTAAGAAGTATGTTAGCACTTTTGAAAATACTCCAGCTACCTAAATTCCCCTCTTCAGATTACTCATTTATTTACTCTGTCTTCAGAGAGGTAACTTTCATATACATATATCCACAAATGACTGTATATCATTTTAGAAATAGTGGAAAGGTTTAGTCTTTCAATGGAGTTTTCATTGCTATCACTGTGTTGGTTTTGTATCACTCTCTGCAGGCCCAACTAAAAAAATCTGCTTTTATTGAATTCAGTGGGAAGATAGATAAAAGAAAGAATGGGCTTCCTTCAGTTAATCAGTATTCCATAGTGGGCAACTTTCTTTGCTCAGTTTTCAGATCACTGCTCTGTCATTTTGCGTAAGATGCAAAGCAAGGAAGCTTTTTTGTTAAAGCTTCTATTTTTTTTTTTTAGTGTTGAAAACTGAGTTGTTAAGCTCTGTTTTTAAAATTTTTTTTTTATTTTCCCCAGAGGCAGATGGAATTCATTATCTAGAGAATCTGAAGAGAGGAGCCAGGATGTTAGGCTGAGATATGACAGATATGTTCATTGCCTGGACAATGGTTCTGAATAAGCAGAAACACAGTTTATACATAAGTATTAGTTCTACTGGACAAACACCTGTAACGCCATTGCACAAACAAACATCAGACCAGGAGCTTAAATCTCCTCCTGCATTTTGCTCTAGAACACAAGATTTTAGTTAAGGTCACAGTCATACTGTACCAAGTAGTTGTTTTATTGACATTGCTTTCATATACTAATACCTTCTTCTTGATTTCACAAATTTTCAGCATATGGGAGACTTTGGCGGAATGCACAGACCTGGAATTGTCGTTGACTATCATAACAAACCCAGTCCTGCAGCAGTTGCTGCAAGAGGAATAAAAAGAAAAATGATACCACAGCCATATAACAAACCTGGTGGGACATTTATCAAGAAACCCAAAATGACAAAGCCTATTTTGAAGCTGAGCCAGAAAAAATCACCAAGTAAGTAGCAAGTGTCAAAATTTTTATGTTAAAATTAGTAATTTTTTATTCATTAGAAATTACTTTGTTTTAATATTCAGAAAAAGGGCTGTATGTGCTGTTTTGTAATTCTTTGTTTTCTATCTTTCAAATAGTCCACAATGGATTTTAGGAATTTACATGTCTAACTTTTCTACTGCAAAGATTATTTGCTAAATGATACTGAATATTTTGATATGTTCAGATATGTACCATTGAAGGCTATCTCATTGAGACTTCATGATGATACTTCCTGGAGGCAAATTTTCATCACTAAAAATAATGTTAGAGCTTAACTTGTCTGAAGAGACAATGCCTGACAAATACTAAAATGTGCTCTTACTTGAGCCTGGGCCCTGCTGTCCAAATTCTTTGTCTATAAAAAGTAGTGCATCAGCTGTGAGCCAGTTAAAATAAAGATATAAGGCGTGGGTGAAAAGGAGAGGGAAAAGGAGGGAAACTGCAAAAATGGCAAAAACTGTTACATAATAATTATGAGGGGCAGAAAGAGATTGCTCCCACTTGTAAATGAAATGCTCTAATGACAAGAAGAACTGGAAATGAGATAAAGAAACCAAGCACCACTAATACAATTTGCAGTTTGTATTTAGTTTCTCTAACTTCCATAAAGATATTCTACAGCTCTAATATTAGAAATTTTTGTATTACAGTCAAAGTTGGAGAAAAAAGTCACTAGTGAGGTTTGAATAAAGTACTTGCTTTGAGGGAATGTGAACTTGAGTGTTATGTATTGTGAACATTATTATATATAGTGTGTACAGCAATCAGATATTAGTTTTTATGATTTTTGTGATTTTCTAGTAATTTTGATGTGCAGTGTTTTATGTAGTTTGGTTTTAAATCACCCGTGAAAATAGTTTAAAGTTGCTGTAGCTCATAGCTTGCATGGCAAATGCACAGACTTGGCAGAGACTTTGAGGCATAAATTCTAGTTTTGATTTTGTTATTCTGGTTACATTATTATGTATTACATAACTGTTCCCTTAACTGTAATGTCAGGAGTACTGTACCTGTTCCAGGAACTGGCTGTATAGAACACACTCCTCTGCCTTTTGTATAGGGAACTTTATGGTGGTCTCATCAGCTTTGTTGTTATGAGAAGGGTCTCTAAAATGCACATCCAAGTTCTTTCTGTACTTTTGTACATTCTTCTTTCTAAGCTACATTCAGGCACAATGCTTCTAATTTATTATTTCATCCCCCTCACTGATTTCCAAAATCTAAAGACCAATACATAATATTGGGTTACTTTAGGAAGTGGAATATATAGTGCCTGCAAGAATGCAGGCAGTCCTGTGGCTCTGAGATTAGGGGGAAAAAAATGTTGAGTAGTTTAACAGAGTTTCTGAAACTTGAACAGAAAGACCAGATGTAGTTGAAAACTAAAAAAGTGGGTAACAACTAACAGAAACTTTGATGCAGTTGCTATCTATTGTATGAATGCAAATCTGTTTCAAAATATTATTGTCCTTTCAGCCTTGAAATTCTTGTTTTAGAGTTAGATATTTTTATTATTTTTATATTATTTTATATTTATATATTTATATTTATATTTATATTATTTTATATTATTATAGTTAGATTGCTTCTGAAAGTGTTTGGTTTGTATTTCTAAGGGTTACTGATTTGGCATTTAACAATATTACTAAACTATGATAAATTGTAAATGTAGACAATCTTCCCTGCATAACAAGCTGTTTTTTTCCTAAATATCTTAATTTTAGAGTTAGATATAGGTGATTGCTTCTGAAAGTGTTTGGTTTGTATTTCTAAGGGTTACTGATTTGGCATTTAACAATATTACTAAACTATGATAAATTGTAAATGTAGACAATCTTCCCTGCATAACAAGCTGTTTTTTTCCTAAATATCTTATTGTCTTAAAATGAATTGTCAGTGACAGCACTTTTGCATTGTTTCTCAATTTATTTTAATAGACATGAAGACATCTTACCAGGATTCTACTGTAGAGGTAAAGATTCTCAGAACTGGAACATGTTTTGATTCTTGAGAAGTTTGCATAGTATACCTGAAGACACATAATTCTCAAGCTAGAGTTACCAAATTGAACATTAAACTAGATAAGTTTTTCTGAACATGATTTTGGGGTTTTTTTTCACTTTATCTAAAACTGTCCTATTTTGGTGGCAGTTGATGTTGACTGAAAGATACAGCTTGTGCACATAGCCTAGAAAGTGAATTTTAAGGTGTATTTGTAGACCCTGCCTGTTCACACAGTGCACAAGAGAGCTCTCATATGAACACTTCTCATGTTGCCACAGTTTGAGCTCATGCAGCTGTGACCTGCTTGGGTGGGTCACTAAACAGAAGTGAGGAGTGGCTAAGCCATAAGACACATCAAGGAGGGAGGATAAATAAAAAAGGGTCAGTGTTAAAAGGTATTATCTGATAGGGTAGGAAGATTAGTCCCTTCCTTCAGACAGATCAGTTGCAGCACTATGTGAGAGTGTTACCAGTAAGCTAAGCATGTGTGTATATATATTTATCCTGGTTTAATGTTGCAGGACTGGAATGGCATTTCCCTTCTCTTTTTGAGTGAGGGTATTAACACCTTCTCAACTAAGTAAAAGTCTGGATTGGAAGTCAAAATATTTATATAGAAAATAATTTTGATTGTGAAAATAATTTAGTAAGGAATTATGGAGAAATGCAGAGCTAGAAGTGTTTGTACATGGAATACCACAAGATAATTCACTTTTTGTTGTCATATTTAAAAAATAGCAAGTAGCAGCTCATTGGCAGTAATGTAAATTACGCTGCCTTTCTGGATTTAGAGCGGCTTTTTTAATTTATGGATCTGACTTTATTAGGAAATTGAAGTCGATACAAGTGGTGCAGTTGTTATATATGAAGACTTCACAAGAGATGCTTATGATCTTGGGTATCAGACTTTTGGAGGTAAGTCAGTTTGCTTTGTCAGGTAAGGTGTTGTAGGTATTCTATGTGTGAGGCTTTGAGGGATTACATTTTGTAAGCCTGTATTTATGACCTCTAGTAGTTATTTGGTAGCATGGCTGCCTGTTTTTTGTTTAAAGAGTTAAACAATTTAGGCTGTGGAAATACGGTTGTTTGTAAGATCCATATATGACTTGTTTGGTTTTTTTCATGCTTACTGTGTCTCTGCTCTCTGATCATTTAAATATGTTGTTATTTGACTTTTTTTTATTTTTATGAAAAAAAAAATAAATTGTAGTTTTCTATACTTGCTACCATTCCATTGTTTGAATGTTCTTCATCCCACTGGTTCCTCACCCATATCCTATTATTTATCCCACTAGCTGATCAACCTCACCCTTAAGCCCTAGGTGAGTCCCTTTACATAAAGTGGATTCAGTTATCTTGGAGAGCTGCTGTCAGGACTGCGGGGTCTGTTTCACATGCAGTCTTAATGAAACAGGTTTATTATTAGTTTACAAAAATCAGTTCAAGTGTGTATTAACTGTAGTGATTCCAGGCACATAGTAAAAGAAATCCAGTGATAAGGCTGAAATTACTTCTATGCTTTTTGTATGCTGCCTTATTGCATATGGCATGGTATCATTTGAGGGCAAGGAGGGCTGGAAATTTGCAGCCAAATGAATGTTTCTTTTCTTGAAGTAATAGTAAATATTTTGAGTTTGTTTTCAAATTGTGTGAGTTTCTTTTTGTTTGAAAAGTTTGCATAACTGCAGTGAAGGAAAGAGGGGATTTTTGGTTTATATATAGATTCAGGTCCCCATTCCCCAGCATCTCACAGGACAGGCACTTCAATTTATGAGGTTGAGGGTCAGATTAGAGGCCATTTCATGCCACAGAATATCATACCAGATGGTTTTTACAGCAGTAAAACAGGTAGTCCTTTGCGTATTTCCAGGGTTAGTGGTAATGCACTGAATGAAATTTAAATCCTGAGATCAGTATGGGAATTGCTATGTGGGTAGGTAGGTGGTTTTTTTTGTTTTCAATTTGATTTTTTTTTAAAAATAGTCTCATGGACAGGAGTTTTTCTCCTCTCTGGATCACAGTAAATTTTGAAACTTTTTGCTACAAAATTATATACCTTGGGATAATGAGGAGCTGTTAGTCATGAAGATGTTTTCAGTATTCAGTGGCACTTTTTGATCCACAGAGTGTTCTGCAGTCTTGGTGTTTGTGCATAATGCTGTTGTGTGTTCCTTTCTATTGATGCTTGGATGGAGGTAGATTTCCTGGAGGCTGACCTCTCTTCTAAGGTTGAACTGTAAAAGAAAATGAAGTGATCCTCTTTTTTTTATCTAAAGCTACCCACTGGATAATATTCTGTTTTTTCTTTTTGTCCATAGACTACTAAAGCAGACATAGGAAAGACAAACATAAGTGCACTTATGCAAAAAGTTAGTTTCCTTGGAAGTCTTACATGTTGTAGAACTAAATTCAGTTCATTTACTCATTGACACATGCCAGGTGGTAATGTAATCAAGTTCTTCTCTGGAGGTCTGCTTGGGTACTTTGTTGTGTGTTGAATCTGTCTGTCCTTGTCTCTCCCTCCCCACCCCCATTAATTGTTTTTTTTCTTTAGCTGAAAAATCTTTGGAATATTTTTCTGTGAAAGCAAGTGAAGTCTAGTGGGTAGAAATAATAAAGCTGTTGAATTTCAGTTTGGGTACCGTAACTTGAAGCAACACTCACTTGTCTCCTTTATGAGAACCTTTGCTTTTACTTTTGGGAGCTGCCTCTGAGTAGAGGAGACAGCCTTTAGATAGTTTCCTTTTATGTAAGGGGACTGTAACAGTGGTGCTCTGAAAACATGGGAGAGTTTTAATGTGTTGTTCTCTATCCGTTTCCAGTTACCTTTTTCTGATCACTTGAAGAGGCCTTTACTAGCTAGGCACAACAGGGAAGGAGTTGCTTTAACTCAGAATTTCTTTTATGACTGTAAACTAGAGTGTAAACCCTTAGCTGCAAAGTTGAAAGCATTTACATTGATTGTCTCTAGAGGAGGAAAACAAAGCAAAACTTTCAGAACATTTAAGGAAGCCATGGAACCATGTTGTTACAGGGGCTTTCTCTGCATTTTCAAGTGTTTGTAGAGGAGACAGGGAAGACAGATACTTCTGCTGTTTGTTTGTTTTGAATTTGGTTTTTAATCCTTCAATTATATCTTAAGATGGCAAAGGAGAAGCTAAAAGTGAGGAAGAAGAAAAGCGGCGGATTGAGGCCAGAAGAGAGAAGCAAAGGCGTAGAAGAGAAAAAAACAGTGAAAAATATGGTGATGGATACAGGTTTGTGCTGTAACTTCTGTGTTGTGTACAGTGTTTTTCTTAAATGCCCTTTATGTCTCTCTAAGAGCACATGTTTTTTTTCTTTTGGACTGATTTCAGGAAAACAAAATGTAAGAAATGAGGGATGTGGAAGGAGGCTTTTCCCTCAACTTCCCCTGCTCCACAGTAAAACAAAAAACTAACCCAAATAAAGAAAAAAACCTCATAAAATTTAAGAAAGAAATGAGGGATGTGGAAGGAGGCTTTCCTCTCAACTTCCCCTGCTCCACAGCAAAAGCAAAAAACTAACCCAAATAAAGAAAAAAACCTCAAGCCAAAACTTGGCACCCAAATTCAGTGTCTTAGAAGAGTGGGAGTTTCATTGGACCACTGTTCTATCAGAAAATCCACAATTTACTGACCCCTTCTCCCTCAGAAGGGCATCAATGCACACTTGAGAAGCAGATTAGAATGGTACTGCTTTTGAAGTCTGTGTTCATGTTGACTTGAAAAGCCTTTAGAAATTGGTTTTATTCTTTTATTATTGGTTTATTCTTTTATTATTGGGGTTTTATATATGTGTGTGTGTGTATATGTGTGGTCAACTGTTTGTAGCAAAAATAGGTTTGCAACTTTGTTACTCTTGCCCTGTGGCTGCACTGTACAAAACTGTTCAATGTCAGTGCAGTATATGATCCTAGCTAGTGATTAGTGGCATTTCCTCATTGTACTGAGGAGTTTATATTTACTTAAAAAGATTATACAGCTTTTGTATGGAAAATGAGCTTTAAATGAATTCTTGTAATTACTTATAATCAGGAATTCATGGCCTGGCTGGACTATGATTCTGTGCCTGCGAGATGTACTACAAAAGGTGACTGGAAGTAGAGAGCTGCAATAGATGAACTCAAAGAATAATGTGGCTTTTAAATGCCTGGCATCTGATTTCAGCAGTTTTTGTCTCCTGAATAGATAGTTTGTTATTCTGACACTGGCCTGATTTATATTTGATTAATGTAGCACTTACCCTTTGTAATGGAAAAACTCTAAGGGATTTTTTTTCATTTCTGTTTCACTTGGCATTCTTCAAAGAATGCTTTTCCTGTTCCCTTTCTGATTTGGTTTGTCAAGTGTCATTATTTTGAGTTTTAATAGTAATATTTAATGTATTTCTCTTGATAGAATGGCATTTACTTGCTCATTTTGCAAGTTTCGAACGTTTGAAGAAAAAGAAATTGAGTCACATCTGGAGAGTGCAGCTCACCAGGAGACGTTGGATCATATCCAGAAGCAAACAAAATTTGACAAAGTAGTGATGGAATTTCTTCATGTAAGTCAGCTGGTTTTAATCTGTGTAATACTTTCATGAGAATATAGTTACAATTTTTACCATTTATTTTCAAAAATACGCTTTACTTGCCATTAGTAATTTTGTAGATGACTTTGGGTGCAGCACATAATACTGAAAGTTCAAGCAAATGAAGCAAATTCAAAGTCTCTAAAGTACTGTTACTTTTACAATTGAAAGTAGTGCCTTAAGAAGTAATAGCAATTATTTACTGTTCGTTAAAGATTTTTCAAAATCTGGGTTAATATTGGAATGTAAACAATGGTACATCACAGATATTTACAATATTTTTCCCTTTGTAGGAGTGTATGGTGAATAAGTTCAAGAAGACAGCAATGCGTAAGCAACAGACAAGTAACCAAACGGAGAATTCCCAAGCTGCTGAAAAAGATATAATGGAAGGTGAGTCGAGTTGTTTGGAGCTCTCCTGGTCTTTTTCTCCTTTCATTCTTCTTTGCATTTGATAAAATGGATAAAACCAGTTAGTTTTCACATGTTTTCTGTACCTGGTTGAGATTCCTTGCTTTGTTTCTGATCCCATGTGGAATGTAAGCACAGCAGGAGATAGCAAACCTTGTTTGTTGGGTATCCAGGTCGCCTTGTCAGAAGGTGAGAACATTGTGCTGGGTACCTGACAAACAATCCTGTGGGCTTTGCCACAGCCTCATTCAGTACAAGGAGTGACAGCAGGTGGATGCAGTAGATTGAAAGAGTGTAATAAAGCAATAAGGTGATAGTGGTCAAATACAAGGATTTGGAAAAGTGCAAATAGGAGGGTTGCTGTGGTTTGGAGGGACAGTGCCAAAAGGAGGAGTTGGAGCATTTTTTTGGTTACCCAGGATGCATCTCGGCCTGGAATTTTTTTCCCCTTGGTTGCCCTACAAGCAGTTTTCTGGAGCAGTTAATGTGTCCCTGCCTTGCTGTGTCATATCCTCCCCTTCTTTGCTTGAGGGATTTCACAATATGGGCTACAACCAAACAAGACATTTTATGCAATAACTATTGCAGTATTACCTAATTTGAACTTAAATACTAAAAGCTACTTAAAAATGGATATAGGCAACATTTTAACAATCCCACAAATTCTTTTGTATTTTCCTTAAAGTACTGGAGGGCCTGTTTTCCTTTGTGATGAGAATGTTCTGTTACCAAGCTAATACTTAAAATTGCAAGAGGATTTGGATTCATGTGCTTCTTCCTGATAGTGAGGGAGGGCAAGGAAGTAAATTAGCTTTTATAAGGGGTCAAGTATGTGCAGTTACTTCAGTGGAGCTTTGTTTGCTATATCAAAATGTGTAGTTTTAAGGATATTGGCTATTGTTGATTGAAAATCAATGCCATTTTTGTACTTTGCCGGGGTATCATGTAGTCTATGAAGAGGTGAAGTTGGAGCATTGAAGTGAAAAACTTCATCTTCCAGTATTGCCCTCAGAGAGCCTAATTTTGATGCCTGAATTTTGGGTGAATATTCCTCAGTGGTTCAGTTTGATATATTTAACAGCTGAGAGCTTTTAATTTTGGGGTAAAAAACCAAACAAGCTACTTTTCCAGTTGCCTAAAGTAACACATTTTTTGTTAATGATTTATTGCATCTTCTTTGGCAGGGGTTACAGCTGATGACCATATGATGAAAGTTGAGACTGTTCACTGCAGTGCTTGCAGTGTTTATGTTCCTGCATTGCACAGTTCTGTTCAGCAACATTTAAAATCTCCCGATCACACAAAAGGAAAACAAGTAAGATATGACTTTTTTTTAAAAAATAGGTGAAAAATGTTACAGTTCTTGGTGCAAGTAATTTCTAAGTTCTTGTTGCTGTGGCTTGTTCTCTAGAAAGCTGTAATGTCCTTACTGCACTTTGTAAGTTTAACACCTCAGAAAGTAGCCCGCACTTAAGCACCCTAGGTAATGAAATATTGGTGTGCTTAATAGCTGCCAGTAGAAAATCATGAGAAAGTTACTAGAAATCACTTCTTCATTTGATGAGGATTTGCATTACAGGGTTTAAGTATTGAAAACATTTTGTTACTCAGATTGGAAAGCGAAACACATGTGTTTCTAGCAAGATTGACATACTGTCTCTTGTTGGCCATTATCTTTTAATTTGAAGACAACTGAGAGCAGTTTAGAATTAGCAGTTGTGTTGTATTTGTCCCTGTTAAAATTCGTAGTGATAAACTTCAGGGCTGGTAGAAGGGTTGAAAGAGTAGCATAAGCATGATAGTAAGCAAGATTGCCAAAGTTACAGGTTTTTTTTTCATACAAGCTTCTGTGACTGAAATGTTGTAGAATGTGTTGAGTTGGAAGGGACACTGAAAATGAGCAGGATCAATCTTCAACAATATGTTAGACTGTGATGGAGAAGCCTGGATGTTGTCTGTAGATGAGAACAGATGACTGGTTATAAACCCTTATATAAGCAAGATCTTACCATCTTTTGATCAAAGCTAAAGCAACAATCTATAAACACTGCTAAACCTAATTGGTTGGGTTTATGTGGTTTGGGCTTACGTACTAAGAACAAGCAGTTCACACTGTAGTGTGTTCATTATTTTATTTACAGAAACTGACCGTGAATTCAAATTCATGTGACAGCTGTTATAGGAACATGATAATTATTCACTGTCAAATTTGTTTCCTAGGCCTACAGAGAACAAATAAAAAGGGAGAGTGTTCTTACTGCCACCAGCATCTTGAATAATCCTATAGTCAAGGCTCGATATGAGCTGTATGTGAAGGTAAGATGTAAATGGAAAGAAAATAATTGTTTGCCATTTTCTCCATGTTGATAGTGTTTAACCTCAGTCCTCTCTTTTAGACAGCTCACATATTTAATATACTTTTAATGTATTTTGCCGGACAAAAATCATTGTCTCAGATAAATTATTTTGCAGCAAAAATTACCACCTTCAGATTCACCAGCTTTTGGTTGTCATTTAAAACTTTTATCTAGGCAATTTTTAGTTAGATTCTCTAATTAAAAAAAAAACAAACCCAAAACAAACTTCAGGCAAACATCAGCAGTGTCTTTATATGTAATGTTAACTGCAGAGCACAAAACACAAATTACTCCCATCTTTACATTGAGAAGCAAAAGCTCCAGCATGTGGGTTTGTACTGAAGTATAGTGTGCACACTGTTCAGATACTTTTTAGTAGAATTTTTTTGATTCATCACAAAAACAAAAGCTTGCAACAGTAGTTGATGAGATAAGAAAATTTAAAAGGCATGAAAGCATATGTTGTAGCTATGTGGCCTGAGAAATAGGTGAATTCATTTTAGCAAAATGGAGAGTTTTTTCTCCTGGGCCACTTACTTTGCTAAGGGACTCTGTAATACTGTTGTTAGCTATTTCTGGATTACCTTTAATTGGTTTATGATTCTGCCTGTGCCACAACAATAAGAGTCTTTCAGACAAAGCAATAGCGTCCTTTGGAAATATGGCAAGGTATGAGCCAGTGCCCAAGTTAATTGTGATTTAAAATGTCAAATTAGTTGTGTCCTGGAAAATTATGTATGGATGGGTGTGTGAATCAGTTTCAGACACCTGTTGTGTATCTGTTAAGGAAAGGTTGCAAATGGCCAGATAGCAGAGCCTGGAATATCTGCTGGAATAGCCATCCACCTCTTCCCAGTTCCTTATGCCTGGCATGCCCTGTCCAATACAGCCCCCTAGCGGGAGATTGATAAAAGAGAGAGTGGAAATTTGGATTCATCAGTTCAAAAACTGAGGAGAGAAAAACTTGCAAGATTATCTTCACAAGGAGACCACTGATGTTTTCCCAATGCTTACCACTGGTGTTTTCTGTGGTGGACTGAACTTCATGCACTTTCACCAGGACTTGCTCAATGAGATGTATCTGGCTCCTGGTCATGCAAATCTCTTTCATCCTTATTCAAATTTATAATTAACTGAGACTGAAGTAGTTCAGTTTTCTTACACAGCATGGGATGGAGCAGAGCACTCATGCATTTGGGACCTGCAGTCTTCTGGGAAAAGCATGGTCTCAATTCTGCTTTCTTTGGGTTAAATCTAAATCTGAATTTAAAAATTCTCTTAATTTTTAAAATAATACTGAAACCAAGTTTTTGTTTCATGGAATTTGCTGAATATTTTTATAGCTGTCTAATTTTTCAGTAGCCACCTGGAAGATTCTACCTGAGAAATCTAACTGGCGTGGAGAAAAAAGGACAAGGGGCATGGCATTCAATTTTTCTTTTGTATCTTGCTTTAAATAATACTCTTAAAATCCTAGTCCTGGTGTGGTTGCTGTCATATGTTCAGCTCAGACTTGATTTATCTGATGTATGAACATTAAATGAGATTTAGCCAAGAAACTCCTAATAGTTCATGCTGTTATTATTCGTTGATTATTCACAGTTCTTAAGTATATGAACAGAGGAAGGCTGAGGTATTCATGCTGAGCAATTGTATGAAATGGAGGAAATATGAACCCAGAATGCCAGTGTGTGTAAAGTACTAAGAAAACTGGTAATTTTTCAAGGTTGACAATGGAATGAATTTCAGGCCAGTCAGTGTAATAAATTCTAGATTTCTTTTTCATTTTCTGAGGAGTATGCCTTTTTTCACAGAATTATTCAGAGTACATGAAGGCTGTAAATAAGGAAAAGCAGAACAAAACTCTGCTGTTCCAATTTGGTTTTGATTGGGGAGAAAAAGGAAGCAGCTGTAGTTCTTAATTAAAACATGTTGAAACTTAAGCATGTAGTTTTGATTTCTGAATGTTGAAGTGAAATCTGTGTTTAGCATACTTGGCTTTTTCTCATTGCCATTTCCACTTGCATTGAAAGAGTTTATTGGGATCCCAGTTTCCCATGTACATAAAGATGTGGTGTTGCTAGTTTTAAATGCAACATGTTTTGATTTTCTTGCAAAAAACCCACAACTATTAAAAAGCTGTGTAAAATAATGTAGCATTTCTTAGTGGCTGCCCCTTTCATTCACTGAAATGATGAGTATGATTTTATATTTGAAATAAATATCAAAGTGTTTATTTTCAATCTTCTACTTCAGGGTGAAAATCCTTTTGAAATTAATGATCAGGCTCAGGAACAGCAAACAGAAGAAGAAGAAAAAGCTGATGAGCCAGCTGAGGGTGAGGAAGAGGAGGAAGAAGAGGAGGAAGAAACTGAAGAACAAACTGACTTCACTTTAGACCACACTGAAGATAACTAAGTGCAAGAAAATGAAAATAAATTAGTGGGGGCAAACCGGCTTTTTATTTTGCTCTAAAGTGGCTCAGACTTTTTAATAGTCTCAAATGGATCTGAAGGTTCCCCACCATATGCATGCATTCCATTCCATGGAGAACTTGTTTATATAATTCCTCTGTGTTTCTGATTTTGTTAAATTGAAATTAAGACTATTTTAGTTGAGCTTTTTATAGAAAACTGACTGTTAAAGCTGATCAAAACATTGTGTTGTATATTTTTTTAAGCATCCTATTTTTTTGGTGTGTGTACTGAAAGTTGGATATAATAACTTTTGGTCTAATCAGTTGAAAAGGAGGGTGGCTCTGTGGGGTAAATATTTTAAAAGCTTTATGGTGTAAGCTTATAAATCTTTACCTCATAGTACAGGATGAGTAACTTCAAAAATTGTGCTGTTGAGTGTGGCTGTTTGGGGGACTGCATTGCACTCTGTATTATAGAGTATGTGTTTATAATATGCCTTGTAGCTTTTTGTGATAAGATGTACCAGTTTGTAGCAATAAAATACGTAAGAAATATTACTGTTTTAAATGTCTGTAGTTTAAGTATTTCAAAAGTTTCCCCATGCTGACTACTAAACTGGTTTCAAATTAAATCTTAATTGATACTATCATTGAAGTTTGTACTTGCATCTTAAGTGACTGACTCATTGCTGAGTTTTTATGTATTCAGACTCCACCTGCCAGGACAGGTAAGTACTTGGGCCCTCATAGTGTGCTGTGGGAAGTGTGCTTTCTGTGTGTTTACATGTGGTGTACTCTTGTCTATCTTAGGAATTAACAGCATGAGCTGTATAACTTTTTAGGCTCTTGAGTAGAATCAGTACAGGATGTGTGGTGCCTCTTATCTGAGTAGTCATAATGGTATGGAATGTTTCAGGTGGTGATTTACATTACACAGGAGTGGCAAAGTTTTGACTTGCATGATGATACTAATGCTATTTTTATTTCTGCTTGGAAACATCCTGATGCATTTTTAATCTTTCAGAGGACTAAATGGCATTGGTTTATAGTTATGCTGTAGGATACATACAACTTGTCTTACATTCTACCTACCTCAGGAGCTAGAACTTCAATCTTTTTGCTCTGAGAAATGTTGACAGATACTATGTAGAGTTTTGTTTGTGTTTTTGTTTTCTTTAGGGTTAAACTTGCAAGGTAGCCAGTAGAGTAGTAAGAAATATGGGCACTAATCCTTGCAATTTGCTCACAGGGAATAATTGCCATATATGCAAGCTCTTATGTATATTGCAGCCAAAATGCACTAGGGTTTTCACGTACAATTATTTTTGCTACATGGTATAACTGTAAGATGATTAGTATCATACTTGTGTAATACTTGGTTTGATTTCATGTGTGAAATACTGAAATCTTGAAACAAGCCTGTAGATTTTCTTGCTTTGGCTTTTCCTGTTCTTCTTACAGTTAAGAATGAGAAAGATATGGAGACTTACCATCTTCATTGCTATTTGCCCTGGACATCTGCCTTGTGGACTCCAGAACATGTGTTCCAAATTGTTGCTGTGTCTGTAGAATGAAATCTGTTTTTAGCTTGCTGAATAGAAGCTTTACTTTTCTTGTTGTGGTCTATCAGACTTCTACAAGAAAATGAAGCTTTTCTTTAAATGTATTTTTCAGCTTCTAGAATTCTCTGCTGTTTCTAAGTAGCCCTAAAATATTGGATCCAGAGCTTTTCTTCAGTTGGTTATCCTACTAACTGAAGTCCTCACCCAGTCAGATTTAAGATTGTAGGGAGAAACTTTATTGTAAGGAATGCCCCTAGCAAGCAGGGAGTTGTATCTCTCCTATCCTCGCTAAATCCCACATCCTCTTGAATCAAAAGCTTGCAGTGAAGTCTCTCAAATCATGTGAGGGGAATAGAATGTTACATTGAATGTAGCAGTGAAGTCTGTTCTGAGTTAAGTGTAAAAATGAGTAATATACCATCTGTTTAATTTCTTAATTTCTAAAATTGTGTCACGTTTTTAGGCTTACAGTAGTGTACTTCTCTTTCAAGTTAAGTCCTGCAGCTCACCTCAAACAGATTTGTCTGGTTTAAAGCAAAGTAAGCTGATGAATAATAAGCCTTTTTTATAACTAAAAAGGTGTATAAACTGAAGTCCAACATCTAATACAAAAGAGCTTCTGATCTTACTCTCCAAATCTAAGCTTTCCTCATCCCATTCTTTGTTACTTCAAAGCTGATGCCAGCAGGGAAAGGAGTAAATTTGAGCATCAAAATCTGCTGAGACAAAACAAAAGAGAAGACTTCTTAAGACCCCACAACCCCTTACTATCCTCTGATTCTGATTTAAAATAAAGTCCTTTCTGCATGCAGAAGTTTGCCCCCCCCCATGATTTGAGGATTACCAAGTATTACAGAAGAACAAGGAATAAGTAACCTGCTTGCCTTTCTGGTTCCCTGCAGGTGAAGCATTTGGGTATTTGCAGCAAACATGCCTGTTCTTTTTATGGAGACTTACCATCTTCATTTCTGATTACCCTGGACATCTTCCTGGTGGACTCTAGGACATGTGTTCCAAACTGTTGCTGTTTTTGTAGAGTTCTTTATTTACCCAAAGCTGTGAAGGTAAGTCAGCAATGTTGAGAGTTTTTGTGGGTCATCAGAAAAGCTAAGGATGGGTAACGTGGTGGCAGGAGCAACACATGTACTGTGAATGAGCACAACCTACTGGGTGTGTAAGTGAATATTTGTCAAAAGATTTTGAAGAGCAGAACAGCTGTATGGACTTAGGTCCACAAGTGTTAATGTGGCCCATTTAAATATCTTCTTTATTGTATAGTCCTTTTCAATCTTCTCACTTCAGATAGGTCATAAGATAAATGTCCTTCCTCACCAGCTAATAGCGTTGTTGTCCATATCCTTTTGTTTTCTTTCGTTACCAGTAAGGTTGCTTTAACCCTCAGTCATTAACCATCAGTCATTAAAGTTCCTTCAAATGTACCTGTAAATCAATCTTGCTCTTTTCGCACTGAAACATTTTAGAGCCTGTTTGAATGTCTTAGAACACAACTAAGCTAATTAGCTACTACACATGTGGGAGTAGACAATTAACAGCTGCCTTACCGTCAGAGTTGGGGTCAAGCAGTGCTGAATGTCCTTCTCCTTAGAGCTTCTTACCTGGGCCTGCTTTCCATATGTATCATGGGATACTGCAGTCATTGGGATGGACTAATGTCTATAGCCTGTCCTTCTTGCCATGCAGACATCTGAGTGTGTGGATTTTGTATTTCTGGTCAGATTTTTTGTTTCTCCCTGACTTTCTAACAAACTCTGTATAACATTTGGGGTCAGGCCAGGTTGCAGGCCAGTGTTGTAGATTTGCCTGAGAGAGAGAATTTGCAGGATCTCTATGGTATCCCAGTTTTGAATCTGACTGCACACCCTCTTAGTAAAACACAAGTGCTGTGTGAAATGGTATACACAAAGGATGGTGCCTTCCTACTTTTGTGTCCAGTCCCTGAACACTAAATTATAAATGTCTTTCAGTGAAGGGTTTATTTCTGCAATTGAAATTTGCACCTTTTGAAGTACCAAGATTTCTATACAAATGCTTCTATCAATACATTAGCAAAAAGGGGGGATAAGGAGATTCTCCATATTCTGTTGAATGTAGGAGGAAACAATGACAAATGATGAGGAAAAGGCTGAGGTACTTAATGCCTTCTTCACTCCGTCTAGTAGTAAACGCAGTTATTGTCTGGGTAGCCAGCCTCCTGAGCTGGAAGACAGGGACAGGCAGCAGGATGAAGCCCCCATAATCCAAGGGTAAATGGTAAGTAAAGGATCAGCAAGAGCTACCAAAGGCTACTGAGGGAGGTGGCAGAAGTGCTTATCACTACTTCCCATTGCTGATCAGCAGCCCTGCTTAACAGGGACGTCCCAAATGGTTGGAAGTTAAGTGTCACATTTGCCATCTACAAGAAGAGGCAAAAGGAGGACCCGAGGACCTACAGGCCTGACCTCAGTGCTGGGGAAGGTGATGGGGCAGATCTTGAGTGCAATCACACAGCACATCCAGGACAACCAGGGAATCTGCACCAGCCAGCAGGGGTTTAGGAAACAGGTCCTGCTTGACCAGGCTGGTGTCATATAACCTGCTTAGTGAATGAGGGAAAGACTGGATGTTACTTGTCTAAACTTGAGTAAGGCCTTTGACACTGTCTGCCACATTTTCCTTGAGAAAAAGTGGCTGTTCATGACTTAGCCAGGTTTACTCCTTGCTAGGTAAAAACTGGCTGGAGGGCTGGACCCAGAAATTGGTGGTGAATGGAGTTTAAGCTGGTCGGTATTTGGTCACAAATGGTGTTCCCCAGTATTGGAGGCCAGGACATATTGGGACCAGTTCCATTTAATATCATCAGCGAACTGGATGAGGGGATTGAGTATACCCTCATTTTGCAGGTTTTCTGCCCAAACTGAGCAGGGGTGTTTCTCCTGGAGGGTAGGAAGGCTCTGCAGAGGAATCTCGACAGGCTGGTGTGCTGAGGCCAATGGCATGAGGTTCAACAACACAAAGTGCCAGACCCTGCCCTCGGGTCACAATGACCTCATGCCCTGCTATAGGTTTGGGGAAGGTGGGTGGAAGATGCCCACAGCAAAAGGAGTGGGGGGTGATGGTTGACAGTGGCTGAACAGGAGCCAGTGGGTGCCCAAGTGGCCAAGAAGGCCAATGTGGCAGCCTGGCCTGTGTCAGCAATGTGGCCAGCAGGAGCAGGGCAGTTGTTGTGCTGTACTTACCATTGGTGAAGGTGCACCTTGAATACTGTGTCCAGTTCTGGGCCCCTCACTGCAACAAGGACATTGAGGTGCTGCAGCATGTCCAGAGGAGGGCAACAGAGCTGGTGAAGGGTCTGGAGCACAAGTCCTATGAGCTGCAGAAGGGAGCTGGGGATGTTTGGGGTAAAGGAGGCTTGAGGGGAGCTGTGTCACTATCAACAGCTTCCTGAATGGGGGTTGTAATGAGCGGGGGGCAGTCTCTTCTTCCAGGTCACAAGCAGTAGGACAAGCAAGAGGAAAGGGCCTCAAATTGCATCAGGGGAAGTTTAGTTTGGATATTAGGGAAAATTTTGTCACTGAAGGGTTTATCAGCCTTTGGAAAAGGCTGCCCAGGGAGGTGGCTGAGTCACCATCCCTGGAGGTATTTAAAAAGACATATAGATGTGGCACTTAGGGTCATGGTTTACTGGTGCACTTGGCAGTGTTAGGCTAGTGGTTGAACACAATGATCTGAAAGGTCTTTTTCAACCTAAATGATTTTATGGTTCTATGACTGTCAGTAGCATATGTTAAATAATGTCATAACATTTTGTGTAGAGCAATTATAATTTAAAGAATAACCCTCATTCCATCTATTGCTTGGCTTGAAGGTAAAACTTAGTGTAGCCTGTTACTATTGTTAGAGTGCACAGCAGTCGTAATGCTGGAGTTCTCAACCCACTGTGTACCAAGGGGTTAATTTGTTTCCATCACTGGGGATTTGAATTCCTTGTCTGTGCTGAGGTCACTGT